GAACACAAAATCACCTCTTATCTAACAAAACTAAAACTACAATTCAGGCTTCCTGGCTGGCCACAAAACAGGAGAAAATTTAGTTAAAAACAAAATGGCAGAGAACCCCTACCAAACTTCCCATCAAAACAAAAGGTTTCTTGAATAGAACTGTTCACAGAAGTTAACAGAAATCAACTCAGAGTTGCTCAAATGTTTTGCACAGAGTTCAGAGTCAACTACACTACACTGCTCAAAACAAAATAGAAAAGCCCAAGGAGAAAGGAGGCGTGGCACTGGATCACTGAAGCTTTTATGCAGTCCACTGATGAGGAGGAAGTGATTCCAGGTGCAGCATGGTGAGACAGCATGGTGAGACAGCATAGTGAGACAGCCTAGTGAGACAGCATAGTGAGACAGCATGGTGAGACAGCATGGTGAGACAGCATAGTGAGACAGCATGGTGAGACAGCATAGTGAGACAGCTTGGTGAGACAGCATGGTGAGACAGCATAGTGAGACAGCATAGTGAGACAGCATAGTGAGACAGCATGGTGAGACAGCATAGTGAGACAGCATAGTGAGACAGCATGGTGAGACAGCATAGTGAGACAGCTTGGTGAGACAGCATGGTGAGACAGCATAGTGAGACAGCATAGTGAGACAGCTTGGTGAGACAGCATGGTGAGACAGCATAGTGAGACAGCATGGTGAGACAGCATGGTGAGACAGCAGGCCTGTAAACAAGCAAAGGAGGAGAAAGGTTGTCTTCTAGTAAGAGAACCCCCTAGAAATCAGTGGCTGTAATAGTCATTAATAACTTGTCAGGTTCTTCTCTTGTGAGCATGTGCATCTACCCCCCCCCCCCCCCCCCCCAAACCACCACCACCACCACCACCACACACACACACAGCTATTTGCATTCCGGTTTCGATCGGTTTTCAAATTAAGGCCTAGTTACAGTAAATGCTTGTTTTGCTAAGAGTGAGTCACGATCTGAACTCTAAATCTGAGAGGATGATGGACAAAGTGGAAGGTGGATAAAGATAGTACATATGATAGAGGACATCCCGCAGACATCCCTTTATCTTCCTCTTGTTCTGAAGTCAGATCGTGGGGGCAGCAGTTTGAGCAGGGAGGCTCAGACATCTCTTTCCACAACCACCTATTCAAGCTCTTCTGGAAGAATTTCTAAGCATTCCAAGACCAGCCAAGAAATATAATCACAGTGTGTCCTGGGGTCTTCTTCCATTTGGACATGTCCAGAAAACCTCGCTAAGGAGGTGTCATGGGGACATCCTTACCAGATGCCCAATCCTAAAAGAGACCGACACTTACAGATATTTAGGCTACATAAAAACTAAAACAATTTCCCGTTATGTTAATTATTTTATTTTGTGCCGTGAAAAGGAAATAAAAATTAATACAAGACAGAAAACAAATGATACTGCAGAATATTCCTCCACTGAGGTCAAAAACTCATCCTTCATGAACAGTGAAGTGGCTGTATGCATAGAAAGTAAGCAGTCACTTCACAGAGGACATGGCTCCTTGTGGCGGTCTTTTTTCCCAACATGTACTTATTAATCTAATTTTTTTGTCTGCGTTGATTTAGGACAGTTAAGATGTTTTTAAGAGGGTAAGTGAATGCCCTCTTAAAGTGGGGGCATTCACCCCCCACTTTAGTGATTTATGCAATCAATTTACTTAAAGTACTTATATTATGTTCTAAAAATTAGATTTCACCTTGTCATTAAACAGGGTTTTTTTTTTGTGTCAAAAAGGCCAATTTATATTGATCATGACTCATTTTATTAGCAATAAAATGGTAAAACATCCAAGGGATGAATACTTTTCAATTGGCACTGTATCTTTTCGGTTCTTCTGTCACACACAAATACACATAATACATACATATATATATATATATATATATATATATATACTAATATACTAATACAAACCAGATTCCCAAAAAGTTGGGACACTAAACAAATTGTGAATAAAAACTGA